TCATTTAGCCTAATTACTGACCCAAGCATGGGTCTGAAAGCCGATTTTGTCGTGTAAAATGCAAATTTTTTGGCATTCGACGGCAGACCCGCAAAACTCCCATTTTTGGCAAAAATTGGCCTACAGACCCATTGTTGAGGTCAATATTATGGCAGAAAAGAGACAGAAATTTACCAAATCATGATGCATTCCGTAAAATGGATTGCATTTTGCAAAAAGGAACCACTAGCATTGCAATGTTGCTAAGATTGTGCAACTTCTTTTGTCTTGGAGGAAAAACCCGATTATCCATCAATAGTTTGTATTTTACTCGCTGAAAACTGTAAAATTAAGACAAAAATACCTCCTAAATTTCATAGTTTTTCACGATTTCTGCAATTTTATTGCAAAAGATGAAGTTGCACAATCTTAGCATCATTGCAATGCTAGTGGTTCCTTTTTGCAAAATGCAATCCAAATGTAGACCTTCAATGAGAAAAAAATCGTATAGTTGTGGAAACTCAGGTAGAGCCCCAAAACGGGCCTTATCGATACTCATATCCAAGTAGCAGTGATCGCGTTAAGTTGCAATTACATCGACGCCAATTTATTGCAATATTATCGAATAAACAATTGCGATTTTTTAGAATGAATTTGCAATAAAATCGAGATTTATTGTAATATTATCGAACAAGAAATCGTGATAAATCGAGATAATATTTCGATTTTATAAACAAAATTGCCATCAGAATCAGGATAGGTACTCGCTTAGATATTGATCCTAGCGATTTTATCTCCTGCGAAAAACCGTATCTTAATTTCAAAATATCGCGATTTTTCCGATGAAAAATTTGTGTCCTTTCATCTGCTTTTGGTTGAGCTATCAGATATATCGAATGTCGAATGACGTGGCTATCGGTAATTTTGCCTATTGAAAAAAAATTGGGCAACATCCACGCGAGGCTTTGGCAGCATCCGAAACTCATCAGCGCTCGGCTTTTCAATCTTGATACCACCACACACACACACACACCCTCCCTCACACACACCCACCCTCACACGCACCTCCTCTAGTTTCCCTTTTCATGGCTGTTTGATGTACTTCACAATATCCTCTCCCGGCTCCGCCCCCTATTGTTGCATGTTATTCTCGACACTTGTCATATTGTTTTCTCCTTTGCTTTTTTTCTTTCGGCTCACGACTCATTTTAATTTAAGTCTTCGATTAAATGTTACATCGGGAAAAGTTTGCACTCTCCGTTTTAGCCTTCCAGCCTATGCAAATGCCTGGTTCATACTCCCCTTACTGCTGTTATACGAACATACCGATTTATTTTTTTTTTGTAATATTCTTAAGTCAAATACACGAGCTTTTTTCCCTTTTCGTCTTCTTTGTAAATAATTTCTTCCACAAACTTCAATAACCAACTCGCTGTAGAGATTTTGAGACGTAGCATAAAGGCAGCACGAGTTTGGCCATCTGTTTCGGTATTGGCTCACTTTAAAAGTGCTCGCTCGGAAAATTGGTCTTGAAATCGCAAAGATCCGACACGACAAAGCAAGGTCCAAACCTCGTCGTTCCCCTCACAAAACAGCACAGCTACATTTCGATGTTGCCAAATTTTCCCATATTGCATTATTGTTCCATATTTTGCATATTCCATTTTGCAATTCTTACCAGGAGAATGCTAGGAATTTCAGTGGCGTGGCGTCTACAGGTTCGCAGTGTTCGCCGAACACCCTAAAATATTTTGAAACAATTGATAAATTATGGCTAAGAATGTGGGAAGCAATACAGAATACAGAATAGTAGATCGCAAATAAGTATCGGGCGCTTGGCATCCGGCAGCGGCATGTGGCGCGGCGGAGAGAGAAAATCCTGTGACGCGTGGTCCGCACCGGCCACCGAACCTGGATGATCTGCGTACGGTGAGGAGAGAGAACCTGGGTGCAATGATGAAAGGGCAAAGGGTACACGAGAGAGGAGAGGCACCGGCGCGCGAAGCAGAGCGGAGCGTGAGCATTGGGTTTGGAGACGAGTGCGGACCGCGCTCACGGAGGGAACACAGCAGAGAGAAAAGGGAGGGGAAAAGAACGAGAGAGGAGAGCCGCTCATCAGTCCAGCTATTTCCCATAGCAGTGGTCCGCAGGGGTTTGCGAACCGCCGAATTTCCTCTATGCCGCGATTCGCCCTCCGCTTCCCCCCCTGCGCCTGCGGGCCGCATCTCCCAGTCTCCCTCTCCCACCTCTCTCTGCATGTGCATGTTGCGAAAATACGTTATAATTTAACAAAATAAATTACAGGAAAACGATCGGTAAAAAGAACAAAATTTCAATGACAAATTACCGGCACAATTTTCACCAGAAAGGGTTAAAATCGTGTTCTTGCGGCTTCATTTTTCAAACGTTTCCGGGGGAGGCCCCCCGAACCCCCCTGTAAGGAAGGGGAGTGAACCTTTCTGCCCCCCCCCCCTAAAGTTAACACTCCTACCGAACGCCTACCGGGTATAGTCACGCCACGCCACTGAGGAATTTATACCGTGGAAATTTCACTGATTTTTCTTCCGATCTCGCGGCGAAAAACAGAATTTTTTCTTGCAAAAAGCGCATGTAGGTACGTTTCTTGTAAAAAATGGAATTTGTTTTTAACCGATTCGCATCCTCGGAATGGAGTTACGCCCCTTCCAGTTCTCCCATTGGATCCTCAAAAGTACCGGGATTCGGATTTTTTTTATTCCAATTTTTCCAACTCCATGACTGTCAATAGTTCCGGATTCCTTTTAAATTTTTACAAAAGTTTCGAAACTGTTCCGGAAAATTTCGATAATCCCAAAAGTTCCGGAAAAAATCAATAAAATTTCAAAATTTCCGGAAAAAATCAATTAAACCTTAAAAGATCCTGAATTTGGAAGTAGTTCCGGGAGCACTGGTCCCTTCGTTTGGGGAACGACGACTTCTGCAAGAGTGCGCGCACCGGCGGCGCTGGCGTCCCGACGCGACGAGGGCGTCGCGGCGCTGCGTGCAGTGTGCGGTGTGCGGTGAACCCTATTTAATCAAATTCCGCATCTGTTTATAGGAAGAGGACGGGGCATCCCCTCTGGTCCCTCCGGTGCTTGGAGCATAATCCGCGACCACGCGCCTTCGCAAATCCCCTTCATTCCCTGTATTTACCGTCGGCTGACAGGGATTTGGACTCCCTAAGTAATAGAAAACACATTCTCGCGCAGTTTTTCGTCAATTTGTATCACTTTCGGTTGTCTGCTCCCGGCTCCCGGCCGCGGATAATTGTGCATTTATCTTAGGGCTCTCAACTCGACTCTTTTATAGACATACTTTCTTCGATTAATGCCCTGGCTCTCGACTCCCCACCCCCAACCTCCGACCCTCAAAGTAAACCCTCCTTACTCATTGCGTCCGCTTTTTCCTACCCGTCTATTTTTGAAAGCATTTATATTCTTAAGCTTTCCGGTGCAGCATTCCTAAGTTTTCGGGCTTTCTTTTTTTCTTCTGTATGTTTTTTTTTTACGGTGGAAAATCGGCATGAAAATTAGTCGACAGCATGTCTTCCACTGATCATCGAAAGAGGAATCGTTGGCGGTTTTGAAGTGTACTTCCCCAGTACACTTTGCAGGTGAACAAAGTGATTTTTTCGGATACAGTCGAATCATGGCTCCATTGGCTCCAAAAATACGCAATGAAATACCATGTAATCTACTCACCTGGTAGTTTTAGAATATTACAGGGAGCGGTAGCGACCCTGTCAAGCCTACAGAGATCAGTGGCGTGGCGAGAATTGCGATGTATCGATTGTTATGCCATTTAAACCTATGGTAAAGAATCGATTATTAAGGTGTTCGCTGAGAACACCCTCTTTATCAATCCTTTTCCATAGGTTCAAATGGCATAACAATCGATATATCGCAATGGGCCTGTTGCAAACTTTTACTAGAGCAGAATGGAGAGTTGTTTCCTTTAGATAATGCCTCAAAAATCATGATGAGCGCATCGGCAAAGTCTGAAATGCACTCATAAATTCACAATCTGCGTAAGAAATTTGCGTTATTTTGAGCTTCCCGCTTCAAAACGATACTACTGCACAGGTGAACATTTTGTTAGAGGAGTCGCTCCATCGTCGGCAATATTCATCATGGCCGACGCTTGCGCAGTTCCTCGCGTAATTCGAGGAGAGTTCAAGGTCAATTAAGGCGGGCGAGGAAAATATGAACGTAAACACGCCGATTGTTATCTGGTTTAATCCTGTTCAGGTGTTATCTTGTCCCATCACACGTGTTTTGGCGGACTGGCGTCGGCCATGATGAGTATTGCCGCCAATGGAACGACTCCTCTAACAAAATGTTCACCTGTACCGTAGTATCGTCTTCGAAGCGGGAAGCTCAAAAAACCGCAAATTTCTTACGCAGATTGTGAAGTTATGAGTGAATTTCAGACTTTGCCGATGCGCTCATCGTGATTTATGAGGCATTATCTGTAAGAAACAACTCTTAGTTTTGTTCTAGCAAAAGTTTGCAACAGGCCCATTCATGCCACGCCGCACTGATAGAGATCCTCATCATAGAGAGCAGGAAGCAGCGATTGTTATCTTACACGAGCTCGTTCACTTTCTGCGTTTTTAATTGCACGTAAAAAGTGTCAAGGGTATCCCCTAAAATTGTGGTACCGTCCTAATTTGTTGGATGATACGTACAATTCCAATTAAGTGCGGTAGTGCCGCAAGGTCTGGGTTAGTGACCTAATTCATTGAGGTAGGTAATACCACAATTAATTTGAAACGTCCATATCATCCAACAACCTCGTGCTCTTTTTCCCGTGTAAAACACAAGTTCCAATAATTTTATGAGGTGATTTCCCTCGATATTCTGTGCAAGGTTCAAGTATAAATTTCAATTGAAGTGAAAGAACGGCGAAGTTGCACAATCTTAACAACTCAAGAGGGCCAGTGCCATTTTCCTAAATGGTCCCTCAATATACTGTCATGTTAGGTACTTTGCTCGAGTCCTTACCTGTGTATTTGAGGTCTGCAGTGTCCTTGCTGAGTTTGTACTTGCTACCTGACGCGCTCATCTTGGAGGATGATAGGATGGATGACTGTAAAACGACACAATAATATATTGATTACAAAGACGTGAAAACCTTCAAACGAAGTTAAGGAAGAAAAGGAGGCAAGAAGGAATGAAGCAAATGAAAGCAATTAAGCAAGAAGCGATGAAAAGGAAGCAAGAAGTTTGAAAATTTTGATTTTTGAGACTGAGCGTTGTTTCATTAGTGGCGAGGCGTGAACGGTCGATTATCGATATTTCCTGATTTGAAGCGATCGTAAAGAATCGATTGTGAGGGGGTTCGTTGCAAATACCCTGTTTATCGATCGTTTTCCATAGATTTAAGTAGCAGATCAAATGATACATCGCAAAGCACGCCACACCATTACTTTAGATGGATTAAAGGAGGTGTACATAATAAGTGACCATTTACTGGTTTAGGACCTTGGCGCAGGAGAGCAAATTTTTGAGGGAGTTAAAGTTTTGTGAATTTGAGTCGAGAAAACGGCAATTTTACAATGAAAAGGATGAATATAATTTGAATGACTGGATTACTTTTGCGCTGATTATGTAGTGGGGATAGTGCTATATTGAAAATTCAACAATATTATTATCCTCGGAATTGCTACATTAAAATTGAAAATAGCTTCCTCTCAAAACCACTATAGTTCCTGAAGTGAAAACTTCAAAACATCATTATTCTTCGGCTATAAAGTTGACAATTTTGGGATTTCTCTAAACCAATGTGCTCTCCTGATCAGGGGCACTGTTATCATATTGATTTGAGTTCATCAGCAGTAAGGCCTTTTTTCCCATATATGGAAACATACAAAACATTTTCATGTAATTAGCTGGGTTAATGTAGACTCTATGTTGCGCAAAATAAAGATACGGATAGACTTATTGTTAGTAAAAGGAAATTAAGTCGTAACTTAATAGTATCTTGATTTGCGTTGCTCATATGTTTTTAAGCTCTGATATCTTATTTGACTCAAGTTTTGGCTGTTATTTTTTGGAATGTGCCCGGGTGTGTGGGAATTCTATTTAAATAAAATTGTAAGGATCGAAACCTTGTGATCCCTAATTATGAGGAACCGCCGCGCCTATTTCCTTCATTTTTGTTGCACACGAAAGCTGTTGATGTCCAGGTGATACAAAAAATCCGAGACTTTCAATATCCGCCTTGGAACTTTTCCCGGGGCTTTTCAAACGTTTATGCCCTAATTTTTGCCATGATAATGACCTCTGCGTGTAAAGGTCATTCTACGCAAGCTACTTGCTGATTGGCTCATCTCTCCTCACTCCTCATCAGGGAAGCGTCCATGCGCTGAACAGGACGTCGGTACACACCACTCACTCTGAACCAGCGCTAAAAGCTGATTGGCTAACCCTATTCTACGCCTCCACTCTGTCGGTATGTCTTTCCCCGACTTTTTCGTCAAAATAATCTGGGACGGACTCATTTTGATGGGAAGCCCTCCCCGCCCCCTCCCTCACAACCTTCCGATAGAATCTATAACATCCGTCTGTACGAGAACAATGAAAATCCTATCCCTGATTTTTGGTTTATGTGTTTTTCCTTGATGGAGGCAGTGACCGATGCCAATAGGTAGAAGGCCCAGTCCCCCCCCCCTTCATCCTTCCTGACTTTCCACACTGAAAAAAAATTATCGGCGTTTTTACCAAGGTTCGTTGGTACCTTTACCATCTCACTTTTTTTACCAATTATTGGTAATTTTACCAAAACAGACTGGTGAGCTTACCTAAAAACCTGTATTTTTACCGTTTTTTTCAGGCAAGACTACCATTTTTATTGGTAATCAATTCCCGGTAACTTTGCCATTTTATCTCGGTAATTCTACCACAGTCGATAAAAAATATTGGCGTTTTTACGAAGGTCCAGTAAAATTACCGAGAAAGTTCAAGAATCTTACCCAGCGATTTCTCGGTAAAATTACCAATTCCATAAATGGTAATTTTACCAAGAAAAAACTGGAATCAAATAGGACCCTGAATTCTTGGTAATTTTACCCTTTCCTTAGTAAATACACCGAGATTTTTTTTTCAGTTCAACACCATTCTTGGATGAGGTCGCGAAGTGACCTCTTGGCTCGCGAAGCGAGTCATAAGAAGTGATCGGGACGTCGAAGCAGCTAGTTTTACAATACATTAAGTTGCAGTATGTAGTGGCGTGGCGTGTTTTTCGAATCATCGATTGATCTACTATTTAAACTTACAGAAAAGGATCCATAAACGTGGTGTCTGCGACGAATACCTTATTAATCGATTCTGCGTCATAGCATCAAATCGGAATAATAGCATTAATGATGATCGCATCATTCACGCCAAAAAATCGCGGAGGAGAATTGAGAGGCTTGGAGAACAGGGCGCATGAGTGCAGTTTTTGAAAAAATGAGACATTGTTAATTTCATGTAAGCTTTTAGAATATATCAATTTTCACTTATGTTTTTCGCCCTGACTACATCGCAGTGATGGACGATCTATGGATCATGACGACGGTGGAATTTTCTTGAAATAAATTTAAATCCAACTCATCACACAAAAAATAATCAACGCTAAATCTCATTGAAGTGCTTCCACGTAATTAATACACGCACGTTCATGAGGAGAGTGCTGGTGGTAGAGTGCACAGACAATTGAACGAACAGTGACAAGAAATAAAAAGTTAGGGAGCCAGGTATTTTAAAATGACGAGTCGGGAATTTTTTTTAACTTATTAAGGAATCTTGCCAAGCAGTAAAATACATCCAACTCAACTTGACGATGTGGACACTAGGCACTGTTTTTTTTATTTAAACCTCTGTAATTGATAGAGGACCATTTGACAAGGTATGAATTCAAACATTCTGATGTTTCCTTTTCAAAATCTCATAAATGACACAATTTGCGCGACGAAACACTGAAATTCACTTCAACCCAAGATGGAATCTTTTTTATTCAGCATTGGGTACGAATAATTTGAATTTCCCACTGAAGAGAAAAACTGCTTGAATGAAATTGCATTTAATGAGAAATGTTCCCTCCCCACCCTATCTCATTCAAAAAAGTAAATCGACGGTGAAAGTCGGCAATCACATAACTCGTTTGCGGTGTCTAAAAATCTCCGCCTCTACGTCATTTTTTTAAAGGAGAACAAATTGATATTATTTCTTGAAGTTTTTGCAGAATTTTCTTCGCATTGAGAAGAAAAATCACGACAGTTTTAAAGAATTGCCGTTGAGTAGTTTTCCATTTAAAAAATAAAGTATGACAGGAAGTCTGCGACGTCGCAAACCGAGTTATGTGATTGCCGACTTTCACCGTTGAAATAACATACAGAAGCTGAGGCGAAGCTTCGTTATTGAGGTTCATATATTTTCATAGTGCATATAAATCACTATGTGCAATAAACTCAAGTAGATAATTGCTTTTACGATGAGCGGGAAGTCGAACATCGAAAAACGTTAATATCTTGGTCTGGAGTTACTTTTAGCAAATTTTGCTGCGCTAATCGTGAGTGATGATTTGAGGAGAAAACATTTCTCGTAATGCTTAAATGTGCACCATGTCTATTGTCCTTGTGCTTGTCTTTTGATAATAACAATGAAATGTAAAAATAATGATTCACCCCGAGTCTCTTTTTTTAGGAGCCATTGCTCCCTCAGCGTATGCGCAATCAACAGCACTGACGTAACACAATCTATAAACTATTTGAAAAAAACAATTTAACTATCCTAAAAATCCAGGAGAATGAGCCAACAAATCCCCACCTCCTCATGTAATACCCCTACCTATGTATATCATGTAATAACATCCCATGTCTATAAATGGCTGGGGATTCCGTCAAAAGCCAAGAAATACAAGGGGAATCGACGATGAAACTGCAAAACTGCGTACCTCGGTTGCGGTGTTTCAAAATCTCCGCTACTATTTTAATTTTTATAAGTGGACCGAACCAACATCATGGCTTGAAGTCTTCACAGAATATTCTTCATAGAGAATAGAAAAATCACTGATATCATCAAAAAATGACGTCCAGTAGTTTTCCTCCTAAAATAAAGTATGACAGGAAATCTGCAACGCTGCAAACCGAGATTCGCATTTCTGCAGTTTTCCCATCGATGTAGACAAGGAACAGAAGTCAAATCAGCTGTAGTGGAGGGAAAAATGATTAAAATAGGTTGAAAAATGAACTGAAAATAGAGCACTTACCGTCTAGAGGTACGCTGGACGGGATGAGATGGAGCTCGGAGCGACTGGGAAGCAGGGATTCAGGGACGGAGACAGCCCGGGCAAGGACGAGGAGGTTCCTCCCACTCGGGGATCGGGGAGGCTGCGCCTGGAAACTAGGCCACCACCATTGTCGCCGTCAGCCCGCCCCCAGCCCCGGCCCCTGAAATTCCCCCGCGCGTTTAAAAACTATTTTCCACTCATTACGGGGAAATGAGCTCCACCCAGGGCAGTATCGACGCTTCGTCGAGTCCATGACGCCCATCTCACTAGGGCGCATCCTGCCGCGGCATTCTCCCCCTTACATAGACAGTGGGGAGGCGTGAACGATCGATTATCGATATTCCCCCACTTGAAGCTATGGTAAAGAATCGATTATTATGGTGTTCCTTGCGAACACCCTGTTTATACCTATATCCTTTTCCATAGGTTTAAATGACAGATCAATCGATGTATCGCCAAGCACGCCACGCCACTGATAAAAGATCCGCCGCCGTTTGACCTTTGGTGTCTTCTCCAGCCTTGATTCGATCCGTTCGCCAGTAGAGATGCTTTCCTGCGATACTTATTTTTCTGCTAAAAAAAATGCTTATATAATGCTATTTATTGCTTTGAAAAAGTGGGTACAAGAGGCGATGTAATGGCCACTTTTTTGGCAGGAGAAGAATAATGAAGGATCTGCTCATCCTTTCCGGAAAGTATGGACTCGATCGAAAAATAAAAACGTGAACTGACCGACGTGATTCGATCAACATCCGGCCGATTCGATCGATTCGCGGCTTTGCGTCGATCAACCACGGGTTTGTCGATCGATTCAGGGACTTGTCGATCGAATAACGGGTTTGTCGATCGAATCATGGACTTTCCAATCGTTTTATGTTTTTCGATCGATTCAAGGGTTTGTTGATGGATTCACGGATACCTAATGTCGATTGAATCACGGATTTCGTCTATCGATGCACGGGTTGGATTGACATCCACTCACGGTTGTCGATCGAATCGCCATCAATGGCATTTGAGATATGGAAAATCCACACGAAGTTTCGAAGCTTTATGATGTTTATATCAGTTTATTTGGAGATCACTTGTGGAATCAGGCATTTTATAAAATGCCTAGGCAAATAGTCAAATAATCTCACTCATATTGAAACTAAGGATCTTCCCCTTAATTTGAACGTTTTCGTGGTATGAAAACATTGATTAGAATAGACTCTTTGTTGAAGTTTTGCACCGTTTTCAGGCAGTTCCAAAAATTTTCGAAAAAACATTCGTGGCGATATTTTACAATGATTCACGAAAAAAGCAAAAGATGCAATCTGAACATAGAAAATTTCTAAAGAGCCCATGGAATAAAAATATTCCATGAAAATTAGCAGTTAGGATGAGGTTTACGTTTCATCATTAAAAAATCAAGAGGCCTACGTAAAAAACTACGCAAATATGCAAAATACTAGGGGGCCCTGCCCCCTGACCGCTACGCGGCCCAACCCCCGGAAGAGCGCCTCGCGCCCTCAGGCCCGCTTCGCGGGCCCTACACGCATATGTATAGGCAAAAATGTTCTTCCATTTTAATACACCATTTTGTGTTCGAGCTGCATCGATTTCAAAATTTTTGACGTAACACTCAGATTTTTAAATGATGTGGAATAGCTGGATGTACATAATTTCAAAGTCCACTCACTGGAGAAATTTCCATTTATTATGTTATTTTGAAATACTTTATTTAAAAAAAAAAAAAAAATCGGATTTCGACCGTTAAGAGTTAATAATATTTGGTCCGTCCCGACGCGACGCAGCGCCTGCCTTTTCACTTTATATCTGCTGTTTATCTGCCGTAAATATTAATAGAAATTCAGCAATCAAGTAAATTGACCAATGCCACAAATCGAAGCCGGAAGAATGAGGAAAAAGTGAGTAAAAACCTTATACCTTGGACCTTGAACCTTGAACCCTGAGCGATGCACTGTTCCTCAACTCTTCGAATGAGGAGCCCTCACGAGCTTTTCCATTGTTTTATTGTTTATTCGAGTCACTCAGGTAGAATCCCACACCTTGACGTTTCTAGCGGAAACGACATATCTGTCACGCTATTAACACTGGACTTAAGTGACATGAGCTTTAAAAGCTGTACAACATTAAAAGTTCGGGGTTCATAATTTTTTGCACACCTACGTCTACTACAGTTGACATACATGTAAAGATCATCCTTATCGGTCAGGCAGTCCGTCAGAAATAGTGCTTCCAAGATTTTGCTTGTAGCTGTATAATATAGATGACGAACTGCCCCAAGGCATTTCGACAGTAAAACTTTCGGTTTTGCGACATTATTTCAGACCTTTTGTCTGCTTTATTTTTTACATAGAAAACTACAGAACGTCAACTCTTTAAAACCTCCATAATTATTCTTTTTCATGCGAGGACAATAATGTGAAAATGTCAAAGAATGATGTTGATTTGTTCTCCTCCCAAGAAATAAAATGGGAGCGAGGATTCCAAAATGGCTGCGATAGGATTGCGCGAATGCCCCCTTTTTTACGTTTTGGAGATGCAAATGAATGGACGAATTTTCCTGGTACTGAAAACTCACATGTTAGCGCGAATATATATTCAATAATCAACGAGGAAGAGATAATTTGACAACATTGGTAGCTTTTGGTACATAACTACATCGCGGACGACCGATCATTCCCTTCTTACTTACGGGCATGCCTTTTCTAGATGGATAGCCCTCGCAGCACAAATGGCCTAGAGAGCTTTCATAGTTATTTAAAAAGTGAACCAGGGGCCTGTGGTCGCTACGCGGCCGCCAACCATTGAGAAAAGCGACACGTAACAATTCGTGGAACAACCATGTTCAAGTTTAATCATGTTAAGAGATGAATGGATTCAAAACCCGACGGGTGCACCCGAAAAAAAGCGTATATTTATCTCTGATTGCAGCGTCATGCACCACTTTTATGTTTCATTTTGAATAAATGTTTTTAAAAAGCTACACACAGTTTTTTTCGAAAAGTTTCTGCGAATTTACTTATACTTGGTATCGAAAATTTCGACGCGATATTTTCGTTCGTTCTATTTTCTTTGAATGTAACAGCAAGAAAGAATTAAATATCATCCAAATTTCTGAATAGTTATAGTAATGAGTATACATATTGTCATTTAGTTATGGTAAACTCTGGAGCAGAAAGGCAAGAATGATGGCACGCAGTCCTACGCATCATTCCTTCAGTCTCGTAAGCGCTAATATGCGTCTCACATCAAATGATCGACTGCGCTGCGTTTGGTGCAATGCGAGAGGTATTCACGCAGTCTTGAAGGCGCTAGTGTGGGCTTTGCTTCACTCCGCCGCGCCGCGTGCCGACCGCACTGTTTGGCGCTATGCGTGAAGTATTCCGAAAGTCCTGCAGGCGCTAATGTACGTTTAACGCCGACCGCACTATGCTCGGCGCGATCATTCGAACTCACGTTAGGATAATCGCGGCATCGAATAATAGAGCTTAAAAAGCTTAAACTTAAGAGAGCATAGAAAGCCTCTGTTGGGTTCCGACGACGTATGAGCATTCCAACGGTACGTGCCTCCTTTCTCCCGATTAAATATTTTTCTTGGAGAAAAGTTAGGAAATTTCTTTATACTCACGAACGTTATTAAATCTTTTCACTTCATTCATCATCAGAAGGTAAGACATCGATGACTTGTCAACAAACTAACCTAAACTAGCGTTAACATAAAACTGCGTTTATTTTCCGACTGTTTCCTATTTTGCCAAACTGCTACCTTAAATTGTCTTCATTTTAAATTCGAACGCTCCTGTAGCAGATGTTAAGGTTATATTCGCGCAATCCTTGTGCCTTTTTCGCGCAATCTTCATACATTTTCTTAGACCTTTCGCGCAATCCTGGATTACCGTTCAAAACACCCACAAACGAGATGCGTGATTTGGGAGTGTCGCCGTCAATTTTTTACATTAGGTATCTATGCTTTGATTTGTCTGCAATATTTATGTTTCTGCCGAATAAAATAAAATATGGGAGAAAATTAAGCAACATGAGATGCAAATTATTTGGGGGCAAATCTCCATTTTCTGTTCAATTCAGATGCGCAGAGATGGCAACTCGATTCTTGGAGCTTAGGGATATTTTCGGATCCGCTTTTGCTCGTTTGAAGGTTCTCACTCCTTCTTCTTTTCTCCATTTTCAACGAACTCATACCTACAAACAGACTTGAATGAAACTTTAAAATAATATTTCTCATCTCATCTCGAGAAGATCACGGCTGATTTAAACTGTTCACAATGGGTTACTCGTATAAAATTGGCAGTAGTGTACTTGCAACGTCGAAAATTGAGGTATGGATGATTTTTCCTCACCAACGGTGATGAGAGAATGTACAACGCCCCACGCGCTGAAGTGTAATTTTAGCGGTAATCGTCATCTTCCACCATCAGGTCGAAGCGATACCGTGGAAGGCGCTCTGAGCAACTATTCGGCCTCGGAAGTGTTGCACAGTATCAGACGAAAATGAAGGCGCACTGCCTTGCGTAAATCGTCTGGAATCATTTACAATTAAGAGAGGTGTAGAATCCTACTGATACTACGATATGCGGCTTTTGTTTGACGATTTTCGTGAGGCGTGGTAGCAGGTTTATTACAATTACGTCACAAATTATGTAAACAAAACGCTAACAAATAATGTAGCAAAAAAATGAGGAGAATAATTGGAATGTGGGGAAAATGAATAGCACAGGTCTGCACATACAACAAAACACAAACGTTTTGAAAGTTGATTCTTACGTGATATTTGACACTCAGATGATGATTACAGTTTTTTCCCTTTAACAGGTAGCTCTGGATGGGTGTTTATATGAAGATCCGAAGAGGTAACGTAGAACCGCTCTCCGGCGGTTTTGCGTCATGGGCCTTATTACCGCTATGGTGCGGTCCTACGTTGCCTCATCGAATCTTCATCTAAGCACCCATCCAGAGCTAACTAAAGAACTTTTAGCCATAAAAGTACTGAACCCAGTACGCTCCACTAAGCACTTAAAGTGCGGGCATGTGGAACATAGGGGCAACCGAAAACGGAAGCGCAGAATCGCATATTGGCGATCTTGGTTGAGAGGATTGGCGTTATAAA